CAGTCCTTTTTTTTTTTATTTAAATTATAATAGTGAAAATTTAAATAATTATATAAAATTTAAAGTATATTATAAAATACAATTTATTAATTATATAAAAATTATAATAGTAAAAATTTAAGTAATTATATAAAATTTAAATAATATAAAATTAGTTAAAAATTTAAATAATTATATCATAGAATAAAATTTAAATAATTATAATATACAATATTATATTAGTATATTTATAATAGTATAAAATTTAAATAATTGTAACAGAAAAAAATATGTTAGTATATATTGTTGTTTTATATAAATTATATTACGAAATAGAATTTATTTATATTATGTTAGAAGTTAGAAATTATTGTGTTATAATAGATTATGAAGTAGAATACAAGAGATTATGAAGTAGAAATTATTGTGTTATAGATTAGAATTGATTGTGTTATATTAAAATTATTCTGTTATAGATTACTATTATATTACAAGTTATAATTGACTATATAATAAATTTAAAGTACAATTTATTATTATTATGTTAGAAGTTATAATTGATTATCTTGTAAAATTATTAACATACATCGTAATATATTGCAGGCGCCGGTCGATGCTTTTGGAGGAGACGGTCGAGATTACAGACCTGTTTTCGTTACAGATGAACTATTTGATAGTTGTGAAGAAGCTATTAAGCGGGCAAAAAAATTGACACTTGAGAATGGTTTCGAATTGGTAATCTCGAAACACGATAAAGAAAAAAAACCGATGTGGTTGAGGTGTAATCGAGGGGAACATTACAGAGGTAATGTTACGAAATTTGTTAATGCTGTTTTGGGACGTTCGAAAACTAAAGCGACCGATTGACCTTTTATGATAAAAGTCAAATTGGACGCACAATCTAAAAAATGGTATATTTGGGTTCCTTATTGATGGGTCTACTTCCAGATCTGGAGAAAACTGGCTGTTGTGAGCTCTGATCTGTTTGAACCGCCTTCAAATTGTTGCTAGACTGCCGCAAACACCTGCAAGAACCCAACGCCGGGAGAGGTCTCGGCGTCGGGCCTCCGACGCTCAAGTCAGTAAACAGAGGAGAGGAAGGTGAAGCTCTGTAATGTGGAGCTGTAATGCATGTAGAAATGCATACAATGTGGGGGAGAGAGCTGCTCTCAGAGAGCAGCAGCAGCAGAGAGATGGAAAGTGTGTAGAGTGAGTAGAGGTTAGGGTTTAGGGTTACCTCAGCCCCTTTATATAGAGGGAACTACCTGCTTGAAGTACCCAAAATTCCCTGGTCGGTTTACCTGAAGTGTCCAAAATACCCTGGACGGTTCGCATTCCATCCACCTCCTAGTCAGCTTAAGATTCTTTATTATCCAATTACTGTCTCTAGATCATGCTCTTGTAGTCACAGAGATGTCTAGTAGCGGAGACCTCTAGTCACGGAGACGTCTAGTAACGGAGAGGTCTAGTAGCGGAGACCTCTAGTCACGGAGACGTCTAGTAGCGGAGGCGTCTAGTAGAGAAGACGTTTAGTAGCGGAGGTCTAGTAGCGGAGACCTCTAGTCACGGAGACGTCTAGTAGAGAAGACGTCTAGTAGCGGAGAGGTCTAGTAGCGGAGACGTCTAGTCACGGAGACGTCTAGTAGAGAAGACATCTAGTAGCGGAGAGGTCTAGTAGCAGAGAACTCTAGTCACGGAGACGTCTAGTAGAGAAGACGTCTAGTAGCGGAGAGGTCTAGTAGCGGAGACCTCTAGTCACGAAGACGTCTAGTAGCGGAGAGGTTCAGTAGCGAAAACCTCTAGTCACAGAGACATCTAGTAGAGAAGACGTCTAGTAGCGGAGGTCTAGTAGCGGAGACCTCTCCGCTACTAGACGTCTTCTCTACTAGACGTCTCTGTGACTAGAGGTCTCCGCTACTAGACGTCTACGTGACTAGAGGTCTCCGCTACTAGACCTCTCCGCTACTAGACGTCTTCTCTACTATACGTCTCCGTGCTAGAGGTCTCCGCTACTAGACGTCTCCGTGACTAGAGGTCTCCGCTACTAGATGTCTTCTCTACTAGACATCTCCGTGACTAGAGGCCTCCGCTACTAGACCTCTCCGTTACTAGACGTCTTCTCTACTGGACGTCTCCGTGACTAGAGGTCTCCGCTACTAGACATCTCTGTGACTACAAGAGCATGATCTAGAGACAGTAATTGGATAATAAAGAATCTTGAACTGACTAGGAGATGGATAGAATGTGAACCGTCCAGGGTATTTTGGACACTTCAGGTAAACCGATCGGGGCATTTTGGGTACTTCAAGCAGGTAGTTCCCGCTATATAAAGGGGCTGAGGTAACCCTAAACCCTAACCTCTACTCATTCTACACACTTTTCATCTCTCTGCTGCTGCTGCTCTCTGAGAGCAGCTCTCTTCCCCACATTCTATGCATTTCTACATGCATTACAGCTCTATATTACAGAGCGTCATCTTCCTCTCCTCTGTTTACTGACTTGAGCATCGGAGGCCCGACGCCGGGACCTCTCCCGGCGTTGGGTTCTTGCAGGTGTTTGCAGCGGTCTAGCAACTATTTGAAGGCGGTTCAAACAGATCGGAGCTCACAACAACCGATTTCCTCCAGATTTGGAAGTAGACCCATCACTTATGATGATGATAAAAAGGGAACGCATAATCATGCGATGATTGTGTATCCCGAGGGTCATCGACAGATGAGCAGACTTAGTGATTCATCTAAAGAGGTTGTCCGTGATATGAGTGGTGCTCAAGCAAAACCGGCAGCAATTTTGGTTGCGATGCAGGGTAAAAACTCTAAAGACAACGCTACTGTGCGACAAGTGTATAACTATAAGAGTAAAATGCGCAGAGATAGTTTGCAGAGTAGAGATGTGGTTGGCCAGCTTATTCACTTGGCTAGAAATAGCAATTATATAGTTTACGCTGAGACTGATGACGTCACACAGGCGTTGACACATGTGTTCATGTCGCATCCTCAAGCAACCAATCTATTCCGTACATATTACTATAATTGTCGGTATAGATTCGACGTACAAAACCAACAGGTATGCTATGTTACTTTATAAATAACAATTTAGCATGAATCTTAATTAGTATGTTTGAGTAGGTTTTTTTATTCTATGTTACTTTCATTTGCTGATGTACAAGATGCTGTTGGTGGAAATGATTGAAATGACGCCGTGCAACAAGAACTTTTTAGGTGCCTATGCAATTATCAAGGACGAGACCGAGTATAGCTATGACTGGGTTTTGCGGGTTTTGCAGCGGTTGAGACATCTGATAGGGCCTGATTTACATCCTTCGGCCATTGTCACTGACAGGGAGTTGGGCTTGATTACTCCTATTCGGAGAAATTTCCCACGGTCGCCCCACTTACTTTGCACGTGGCACATCAACATGGATGTGGAAGACAAGGTTTATCGACTAACAAAGAAAAATAGGGATTTCGCTCAGAATTTCACCCACGGCAGGTGGAAGAACGTCGTCGAAGCAAGCACGTTGGATGAATACAACACTGTTGTTTGTGAGATGTATGGTCGGTGCTTTTACTGATGTGTTACAATATGTGGAGCAGACGTGGTTAGTCCACAAGGAGAAGTTTGTCAAAGTGTGGACGGACACTGTTTTACATTTTGGTAACACAACGTTGTGTAGGGTGGAGAGTGCCCACGCTACGTTGAAGCAGTGGCTTAACACGTCGACCGGTTCGCTCGACACAGTGTGGGAGAAGATTCATAAGGAGATAGAGTCTCAACATACTAAAATCAGGTATTTTTCTTAAGTTATACATATTTTATTGCGTTATTACTATATTAATTATAAGTTTAATTGGGTCTAATGTCATGTAATATATTACCAGAGAGACGCTGGAGTCTTGCAGACTTAGGATGCATACGGATTACAAGAAATTCCTTTTCGAGCACTTGAGACTGCGGGTCTCGCATTACTATATACAATTATTGAATGATGAGCTTCAGAAGATGCACGAGTTGCGTAGACACTTTACGACACTGCGGATGTGCACTGAGCTCATGGACTTCCTTGTTCCTGTGACCTAAGAGCGGCATACATGGTGGGCAGGCCGATTATGCCCGACATGGTCCACAGGTTCTGGACCATACTAGAGGTGTTGGAGCTAGGTATAATTGCGAGATTTTTTTTTTATTTTTTTTATGAAAAATTTTTAAATATATATTTATATATATTAATTATAAAATTAATAATTAATATATAATAATATTTAATTTATGTTAATATATATTAATATATTTTATTATTAATTAGAATGAAATATATTTAAATGTTATAATGAATTAAAATATATTTAATAATGAATATATAATATATATTATATAATGAATTGTATTTATTTAATAATAAAAAATTATATATTATACATATATAATTTTAAACATCTTTAAAATAAGGTGCGGCTGCTTTTTGTGAGAAATGAGGGGGGCGGGGGCGGCTGCTATTGTGATTTCAAACATCTTTTTCGTTTTTTTTGTTTTTTAATGAAAGGACAAAATGGTATTTTGTAAGGACAGTAAATAGTAATAAAGGGACGATATTTAAAGATTTTGAATGAAAAATGATTGCCACAAAGTCCCAATCACAATTCCCAGGCTTCCCCCACGTCAAGTACGTCTTTTGCTATAAATTAAAGTTGCAGCACAAATACACAACAATTACTTATAACGGAGAAGCGCATATCTAATGAGGAAAATATAAAATTACAATAGTGGGGATCAACTGTGGCAGGTACTTTGCTCTCATAATCTTAGTTGGCCACTCCACACAACTCAATAACTAACCACATTGCACCATTTGGACATGACCTCAAGGCATCGACAAAAAAAAATTCTTCAATCTGTAACACAACATTATCTTGAAGGGATACCAACAATACAGTGTCATAACTATTCTTAGGACTCACTCAGCTCTCAAAAACAAACTCATCAGTTGTTTCTATGTTCACCAACACACGCACACAGAAAAAACACAAAAACGTTCGTTCGAGCCCTAAAAAAAACAGCAGAAATAATATCTTACATCTCTGCTGCACAAACCCTTTCTTCCTTAACTCCACCAGTCAACAACCTATCTTCACTGTTTTCTTCATCCTCATCCGAGTCCAATAACAAACCAGCTTCTCTTCCTATGCTTTCCTCACCGTTCACATTAGACGAAAGCTGTGGCACTGAAATCGCATTCCTTTTGTAGTTCCACACGAGCATTGAAACATAATCCTGAGGCGAAATCAAGCCTTTCTCTTTAAGGCATTCGCGCTGCTCCTCAAGAGTTGCCGAGTCCTCAAGCTTTATATACTCAATCAATGCTTTCTCGTGATCGGGCCTCCAGCCCGCGGGAAAAGGCGAATAATCTGTTTCGGGCACAAGAGACATCCGCGTGTACTGAAGCCCATCAATCGACTCAACTAAACCCATCCTCAGCAAATTGTGATATTCCGGGGACTGCCCTTTCTTTTCCTTGAGCGGACGACTCAAGTTCCGGGCCCCGATTTTGTAAACCTTGGCCCGTGACCTCAGCTTGTATTTCGCAGCATAAAGCTTCGCGAGCGAGCCCCTGATTATGTACGAGCAGAAATTAACTATTTTCTTCCTGTTGTCGGCATATCTGTACCACTCGACTATTGTGGACAGGAATTTATTCATCTGGGCATTCGTGTGTGCCTGAGTCGCGTGAAACATTCTGAAACAGGGCTGGGGGTCGGGATCTCGGTCCCCTTTGAGAAAACTCAACTTCCTAAACTGCTTAATACACTGCTTTAAACTCGCAGTTACAGATAAAAGTGTTCCAACACCTTTTTCGCTGATAATTTTCCCGCCAGTCGCTGTGTATCTCAAGGTCGGGTACACGACCCGCCTGCAAAGCACGTGGTCCAAAAACATAATGCCTTTGGTTATGTGCTCGATTGGGAGGTTTTCATTGTCGAGCTTCAACATATACTTCTCGTCACAAAATTCAATCAACTGTTTTCTCAGAGTAGCAGCGTCAGCTCTCGGCCCACGAACCCCAATCAAGATATGGCCGCCAAATCGTATGTAGTCGATCTTCCGTGTCTTGTCCGGGCCGCTAGTCGGGACGAATTCGGGCCAAGAAGTGTTCCCTTGTTCGGCCTCACCTTCTGGGCTGTTCCATATGACATCACTCGTTGAAGGCTTGTAGAATTCTTTAATTTTAACCTCAATCCACTTGTCAAGCTCGTCAAGGCAAACGTTGGCTAAAAGAGGGCTGAGTATCCCACAATGGCCCCACGAAGGATGAACCACAGCCTCTTCAGGGGCGAACCCGAAAAACGTTTCTAACCAATATGGGTCGGGTTTGGGCTCGTCTTCTGCTAAAACTCTCTTTTTCTGATACTTCCTTTTCGTTTTCTTCTTCTTTTCCCCATCTCCCGGCTTAGTTGTTATAACAGGAGTGGTTAACGCGGCTTTTATTAGATCTACAACTTTCTTATCCCTAACATCCCGCATTAAAGCGCTAATTACCATCCCAACCTTCATCCCATCCAGAACAGTACTCAAATCGCCCTTAACGTACCACAAATAGCCAGCAAAGTTCCTTCTTATCACCCTCAACACAGTGTGTGCATTCCTTCCAGGCCTAAAAGCAAACGACTTTTGCGAAAAACGAGCCTCGTAAATGGGCTCAAGTATCATAAACAAAACCTCCTGGACAATCCTGTCCTGGAAAGGGGTCGGCTGAGTAGTCGTCAAGATTGCCCTGATTTTTCTCTTGGATAAAGACTCGTAATCCGTCTTGTCCTTTGGTGACCGAATGAAAAACTCCAAGCGAGATCCCCATTTGAAGCGGCTGTCGAGAACAGCGTTCCTTAATGCCAACAAGTCTTCGAGTGCTGGACGTGTGATCGAGCTACGGGGCATGTAAGCGCCTGTCTCATCAGCACATACCTTCTGGTATGCCAAAACCCACAGCTCGAATCTTCTCAAATAACCAGACAAATTAGATACAGTCTTATTGGGCTCCCGGAAATTTTCGATCCACATTTGGGAACAAATGGACACGCCGTCTTCCTTCATTAAGGTGGCTGGGTCATTCGGGTCAGGTGGCTGCCTCGTGAAAGTGTAACGGCTGTACGAAAATGCTCTGAATGAAAAAGCCCCATATTTATTTATAGGTTTCGCACTGTGATTCAATTGAGGGTGGAGTAAATCGTTCGTGATGTGCAATAAACTCGTTGCTTTGTTTCTGAGTGCTCTACGGCTCAAGGTCACGGTTCGACGCATTTAAACTGTCGCCTTCACGACTGGTACAGAAAAATTAGCACAAACACGATCAAAAACTTTGATTGAGCCTTCAAAATTTGATAAGATGGTCCAATTGCGCAGAACTAAGAAATGAAATGGGAAGTAACGAAAGAGCGAGGTCTAAACTTACATAAAGAGCAGATTGCAAGAGAAGAAGCTCCTTCAAACATAAGCATAACTTGTTCCGAGTTCGAGGTTGATCTCTTTCTGCTATCTTAGGGGTTTGTCGGAGGTTTTGGGGATGGGTTATCGGCAATGCCCTGAAATCTAAACCCTATCTGGGTAAAACTGAAAAAATGAGTATTCCTTAAACAAATGAATAATAATAATAATAATAATAATAATAATAATAATAATATAATATACAGAAAAATCATATTCCTTAAAAATGAGTAAAATAATAATCTATATCTATATCTATATATATAATAAGAATTACTCCATCCTATTTTTAATAAGTGTCGTTTTGAAAAGTTGCACAATAATTAAAAATATTTTTTTTGCCAATAATAACCCTCATTAATGAAGATAGATATGGATGTTTTGAGAAAAGTTGAATAGTGAATATGAAAAGACGTAGTGTAATTATTAATTAAGTGAGAGTAAGAATAGAAAATTATGTACAAAAGATCCACAACGTCATTTATTTGGTTAATAGTTGATAAAGTTATAATGACATTTAAAAAAAAAAATAGGAGGTAGTACTATTTAATAAAAATAGTAAGCAAAAAAATTTAGGAATATTAATTACATTCTATTTTTAGAATGTTTTTCTAATTTTTTAAATAAAAAAATTAGGCCGCATTTAATGCTACCATCAATCATGGAATTTGTTATACTAAAATTTCAAAAATTGAAATAAAAAAATTCATCTCTATCTTAGTAACAAATCTATGATATGACAAGGGCAACACGTTAGAGTAGAGAATAATTTGAGTATTTGTCGGCAGATAAAGCAAGATTAAAATTAATTATCTAATTATTTTTTTTTTCTTTTTGGTAAAAATTACCTAATTAATTAGTATATGAATAATGAAGATAAATGATTATTCATTATTTGTTTAATTAGATTTATAAAGAAAAATTCAAATTTTTGCCAATAAGATTGTGAATATCAAATAATATTACTACAAACCTAACAATTAAAATAATATTATTACACATATGATATTTTAATTTTCAATCATTTAAAATTAATATTTTATTATTTTATATCATATTAATTTTAATAATTATATTTTTATTTTATAGATTTTCATCATTTGAAAATTTTTCAACATAATAAAAATTTCCAAAAGTTCTATATAGGTTTATGTAATATATTCCAATGCAAGGAATATTAATTCTTTCTAACAAAATGCTCCAAATTATATATTTCATACTAAATGCGTTAGCATTGCGAGATATACACAAATTCGTATAATATATTTCCGTGAAATGGTAAAAAAATAAGAATTAATGGATGGATTGGTACAAAATATGATAAAAGAGATATAATCAAAATCACTCATGCGATACATTACATATAGACAATGTTGATAGTAACAATATAAAACTGGTATACAAGACATATAGACAATATCTACTATGTAAATATTCTCTCATAAAGTTCAACGTGAGATATTAGATTGTAATACTTATTATTTACTCACATAATATTTTAGATACTTTTTTTACACATTCAATACTCACACACATAATATTTTAGATACTTTTTAGATTTTTTTTTATTTTTTTATTTTGCCCCTTCTATACATTAAAGTTTATATCTTTAGGTGCTTTTAGACATTTTGCCTTTACAAAATAGTTTAGTGGAAGTTTAGGTGACTTAACATTTTATAAGAATATAGAATTTAGATATCTTTACATATCTTATTTTAGGTATTTTTAATACTTTAAACATACATGTTTTGTGTTCTTTTGTACATGATAATTTTATATTGTACAACACCAGTTTTGCCAGGGGCGGATCTGCATAGGGGCCCGTAGGGGCACGGGCCCCTGTAGAATTTTTTAGTAATATAGCATATATATGTTATATGTATAAATATATTATTATATTGACATATAAAAAATACACATTATTAATTATTATGCAAAGTTATTTTTTTTTAAAAAAAATGTATAGAATTATTTAACCTTCAACAGTATGTTATTTTTTAAGTCGTTAAATTTATGCTTATATTATACTCAACTTCTTGTTTATTTTCTTTTCCCTCCCAAAATACATAAAAAATAAATATTATACATAAATGTATGTACTATATAGAGATTGGATCAAATGTATCTCTATTTTTAAAATGAGAATGTGAGACTCAACCCTAGCTATTAAATAAATAAGAAACAATGTGTCTGGTCAAGATTTAACCTTTTTATTTTTTTAATTGGTTAAATATTGATTTGACTGTTGACCTCCGACGTTGACCGTTAACCGTACTTTGTGCCCCTGTTGTCCTCAAAGTCTGCGTCCGCCCCTGAGTTTTACTATAAAGCCAACAATTGGCTCCACTATGGAACCAACTGTTGACTTCATAGCAAAATTGTGTACAACAAACCGATATACGTAAATTATATCACATTTTAATCTCAAATATTTAATTTATTATTATTAATTAATGCTATTTACCCGCATCTTTAATTTTTAATTATTATATAATATTATTTTTTCGTGCATCGCACGGGCTACGCACTAGTTGAAAAATAATGAGATATTAGAAGGTACTATATATATATTGTGCGCTATACCTTAAATGCAATAATAATAATAATAATAATAATAATAATAATAATAATAATAATAATAATAATTAAATAATAATAATAAACAAATAAATATATAAAATCCTGCCTAATTCTTTAGTTAGTTTTAGTATTTTTCAACTTTCATTTTATTTGTGTTTACATATCTAAATTTGTAATTAATATCCTATTATTTAATAAAAATTATAACCGTTATGTCTAAAACTATTATAATTGCGCTATTTGTTAATTTACTAAGTAATATTATTTTTTTCTTATGTAATTGTTACAATATTGTAACTATATATTCATTCTTCGTACATTTATTTAAAATTTGAATTTCAAATATTGCTTATTTTTAACCTTAGCACAATAAAATTTATTTTAAGACTATTATTAGGAGTAAGATATATATTTTGAAGTTGCCATAGGAAATAAATTTATTAAAATAAAATAACCATATAAATTATTTTCTCTTTCTCATTTGTATGAATTCCATTATAAACTCATATATATATATATATATATATATAGGGGATGGATCCAATGAGACCACTCCTTAAAATGAGTACGTGAGACTCAATCTTAGCCACTCATTTTGTCTAGATCAAAATCAATTAAAATATACATTAATTAAATAATAAAATAGTTGACCGTTGACTCCGGCATTGACCATTGACTTCCGGCGTTGACCGTTGACTTCCGGCGTTGACTTCCGGCGAGAATCGTTGACTTCCGGCATTGACCGTTGACTTCCGGCGTTGACCCGTTGTGTTGAAATAAATAGCCTAGCAACAAAGACACTCAACCTTGAGTGGTGTAGTGGTTGCATTGCTTGTCTTGCCTCCATGAGGTACCAGGTTCAAATCCTATGGGTACTTAGCAGCATCAGACAACTAACCTAGCAACAAAACACAACTAACCTAGCAGCAAGAAAGAACAACTAAACTACAACTAACCTAGCAACAAAACACAACTAACTTAGCAACATCAGACAACTAACCTAAACTACAACTAACCTAGCAACAAAACACAACTAACTTAGCAGCATCAGACAACTAACCTAGCAACAAAACACAACTAACTTAGCAGCATCAGACAACTAACCTAGCAGCAAGAAAGAACAACTAAACTAGCAACAAAGACAACTAACCTAGCAACAAAACACAACTAACCTAGCAGCAAGAAAGAAATAACCTAGCAACAAAAGACAACTAACCTAGCAGCGATAAGAAATAACATAACCTAACAATAAAAGACAACTAACCAACTAACCTAGCAGCGATAAGAAATAACATAACCTAACAATAAAAGACAACTAACCTAGCAGCAAGAAAGAACTAACTTAGCAGCAAGAAAGAAATAATCTAGCAACAAAAGACAACTAACCTAGCAGCAAGAAAGAAATAATCTAGCAACAAAAGACAACTAACCTAGCACCATCAGACAACTAACCTAGCAGCAAGAAAGAACTAACCTAGCAACAAAAGACAACTAACCTAGCAACAAAAGACAATTAACCTAGCAACTACAGATAACTAACCTAGCAAGAAAGAAATAATCTAGCAACTTAAGACAACTAACCTAGCAGCATCAAACAACTAGTCTAGCAGTAAGAAAGAAATAACCTAGCAACAAAAGACAACTAACCTAGCAGCAAGAAAGAAATAACCTAGCAACAAAAGACAACTAACCTAGCAGCATCAGACACAAATGCTCTCCCTTCTCTCTAACTTTCTCTCTCTAGGTTTTCTCCCCTCCACCCTCAACCACCACATCTCTTCAACCTCAGCCACTTCTCCCGACTAGCCGCCCCTCCGGCCGCCGCCGCCGGCGGCCTCCCCGGCCTCCGGGGACATCTCACCTTTACCTTTTCTATCCTTTTTTTACCCTACTAGTCCTCTAATTACTTTCAGTTTTTGCCTAATCATGCCTCATTCGGCCAATCCCCAGACAAACAAACAGATTTCTCCTCCCAGGATAGCTTCGGCGTTGGAGCTCCTAATCTCTCAGCCGGAGTTCCGAGAGACTATTTTGGCTCTTCTCGCTAAAAATACATTAAAAATGGCAGAAGAAGGAAATAGCAATAATGTGGAAGAAGGTGAAATGGTAGAAGGATCCGATAAAAATCGGATTAACGAATCCTCGTCGGAAGTTAAAACAAAGGCGGAGACCTCTGTGTTGCAGCCGGAGCTCGGTAACCAGCGACGACACCTCACAAATCCCGGTCACCTCACATATCCTGACTTACAGCAAAAAAGCCCAGAAAAAATCGACAATATTTTACAATCGTCGAAGAAGACAACCACAGCCGTCACGCCACAAAAGGAAAAATCTCCGGTAGATGCACCGGCCGTCATGCCACAAGGGACATTAGACCCTCACATAGGAGTTAACCAAGATCGGTTGGCGATCTCCTCTGGCCCGAGGTCAGAAAGCAGAGGCCCAAAAACCGGGAACTTCGATTCTCCGATCAACTTTGGATCATATGCTCCGGCGCCGGAAGTTACATCGCTGAAGAAGACAAATCCCGCCGCTACTCCTTTGTTGTTGACCGGTCAGCGACCCCCTTCCCCAACTCAGACTTTATATCGTGACCATGTGTTAGGTCTTGAGGCTGTAGCGAATCCTGAGCTTAGGTGTAACAACCTGGGCCAACAAACTTCCCATTCGATTGGGCCCATTGTGCAAACGGCCCAACCCACAGCCCCCCTAAATCAATTCCAACCCCATTCTTTCGGCCCATCTGATCCCTCACCTCCCCATCTCTCCCCCTCTTTGGGCCTTCCAATTTTCGGACCCACCAAACCAATCAACTATCAGGCCCAAACCAACCCAGCAAATACACCACTTACCATCCTAAATTCCAACCCACTTCAAACCATCCAGCCCGTCACCTGCGAACAGCAAAAGACCTCCGCCCCTTTGATCGCAGCCATCACCTCCCAAACGGAACCAGACGGCCACCTCCCCTGCGCCGGCACCGGTGCCGGCATGGCCACCGGAAAATCTCAGTCGGCCGGCAATACTTCCGGAGCTACCCCCGAGTTTCTTCCTACGGATGGTATCCTTGGCCCCCGACCAAATTCATCCCTCCCAGCCGAGCATCGTGACGGTATAACCATTGTTGCTTCTGGGGCGATTGCTGCGGGTCCTAGGAAGACGTCAGCGGCCAATTTTTCCGGACCTTTACCGAATGGGACACCGCCGACGGGTCACCCCACAGCTAACCCCGGGCCTCAATCGGGCACCTCCAATGGCCCGCTTTCATTCCGGGAGGCCATTACGGGAAAAAAGAGATGGCGGCACGGGTGCCCCGCGGCCGACACCCAAAGACTATACCTTTGACGGGAATTACGAGCATGCTTGCGGGACCATTATCCGCTCGGAGGAGAACAAAGTCAAGGCCCGATTCACCGACGCCGAATCTGTCGCTCTTGCAGGTAAGCTGGCTAACACCCTGGTCTTTAAGTTTTCATATGCTATCCCCGCCCCCCGAGATATATCTGCTGGGTTAGGAAAACTGGGATTTAAGGGTAGAGTGTCGTCGAAGTGGTACAATTTCAACCACCTCCTAGTCTCGTTTCACCTCCTCGAGGACTATAACGAGGTCTGGCTTAAGACCTCCATTCATGTGTGTGGATGCCCAGCCAGGGTGTTCAAATATTATGCCGGGTTTAACCCGAAAACGGAGGCACCGGTTGTCCCCGTGTGGTGTCGCCTTCCCGGCCTACCACCCCACCTTTATGACCGTGCTGCCATCACTACACTAGCTAAGTGTATTGGGCAGCCGATTCGTATCGACGCCCCGACGGCCCTTCAGACGAGGGCTAACGTGGCTCGATTTTGCGTCGAGATAGATCTGAGAGCTGAGCTCGTTCATGAGATTGAGATTGAACAGGGCTCGGAATCTTTTGTTCAGCGGGTGATCTATGAGAAGATCCCCGCGTTCTGCACCTCGTGCAGCCATGTGGGTCATGTTGCCGCCGATTGTTACATCAGTGGCAATAAGCCACGACCCGCCCTCCCGCAGCGCCATCGTGCGAACCAGCGGGGGCCCTCCACCAGCCGGAGGGACTCCAAGGGAAAGGGCAAAAGCCCCGTCCGCGTGCCCGAGACCCCGAAGGGGTCGAAGGATAAGGGCAAGGCTGTGATTGTCGATGCTGCCCAAACTGGGAAGGATGCTCATCCTGACCAGCCTAAGCAGTTGGCCTTAGTGGGCCCCAAGCCCAAGTCCACGGGCTTTCTCCCCAGACAGACCTTACAGACGGCCTTCAAGGCCAACCACTCCTATTTTGCTATTCTATCCCCTGAGACAGAGAAGGAGTCTGTTCCTTCCTCCAGCAGGCCACCTAAGATTTCCGACCTTAGGATTCTGGATGACGATGACCTCCTTGGAGACGACATGGACCAGCCGGACGCCACGCCCAGGAGAGAGTCCATCCACCTATCCGACGATAGTGCGCGCGATGCTGGTCCTTTGACCGTCCGCGCATCTAGCCCGGTCCGATCTTCGGATTCGAGGGCTACTGCCGCCACCGCTCCCCCGAAAGGGGATGAGTCGGCCCACCCCATCCCTGCTGAGATTGGGAGCTCGGTCGAGCTTATAGCCAGCTCCCAGCCTCCTCCTACCGACGAGCACCCGAGTGCTCTACCTGTAGGACCCCCTCTTTCACCCATCCCCGAGCAGATATGCGAGCTCAACCGCGCGCAGCATGACGTCTCGTGCGAGAGTTTCGCCTCTAGTGCTTTCCTTCACCTTGACAGACAGGAGACAGCCCCGGAGATGGGGCAACCCGCTAGTGCTGCTATAGGCCAGTCTGTCCAGCCAGACGACTCACAGGCCACGAGTACATCCCGAGGCAGACAGACCTCGAGGGCTAGAGCCACGCAGCACACGAGACGGCGGACGACCTCCCCTGCTATTGGACCCTTCCGCCGCACGACACGACAGATGACTTCCCATTCTTTAGGTGGCCCGAATCAGCCTCGCCATAGGCGGACTACGTCTGGTGGCTCTTGCGACCGTTGAAATGTCCATCACATCCATTACTTGGAATGGTCGTGGCCTGGCGAACAGGGCTACTCTTTCTCACCTTCATTCTCTCATTCGTGACCACATAGTCGATTTTGTTGGCTTTATTGAGCCGATGATTCGCACTCCTTCTTTTGACTACTACTCGCGTCGTCTGGGCTTCCATTCGGGCGTGGGTAATATTTCGCACAAGATCTTCTTCTTTCACTCGCGTGACTATACTTGTCGGGTCCTCCGTGACACCGATCAGGTGCTTCACGTAGAGATTTTCGCTGCCCACCTCCCGGAGCCCATCTTTCACACCTTGGTTTATGCCAAGTGTACTAGGGTCGGGCGATATGATCTTTGGGACACCCTGCGTGAGATTGCCGAGAGTATGGAAGGATTGCCATGGATGGTTAGTGGCGATTTCAACATCTTTCTGCACCCCGATGAGCGCGTGGGTGGCCGTACGGACAGATCCCGAGAGATGTGGGATTTTGCGCAGACTGTGGCGGACTGCGAGTTGCTTGATGCTGGATGCGAGGGTGAGCCCTTCACGTGGGTTAGGGACAACCTCAAGGAGAGGCTCGACCGTGCTTTGATTTCTGAAGCGTGGTCGAAGGTGTTTGCGGTCACGACCGTCACGCACCTCACTCGATTTGGGTCTGACCATTCACCCCTCCTCATTAGATGTCGTTTTTCGAGCACTCCTCGCCGCGCTTCCTTTAGGTTCCAAAACATGTGGGTTCGCCACCACTCCTTCCACGACACTGTCAGGGATTCCTGGCTTCAGCCGACTGGGCTCTTCGGGATGCGCAATCTCGAGGCGAAGCTCGGCAGACTGCGGCGTCGGTTGAGACAGTGGAACTGGGATGTTTTTGGAAACCTTCATCACCGCCTTACTGCAGCTCAGAGTGCGCATGCGTCGGCTGAGCGGGCCTATGACCTGGATCCCACTCCGGAGAATAGGACCGCCATGCACCGCTGCCACGCCGAGTACCAGCTCCGACTCTTTATGGAGGAGGACTTCTGGAAGCAGAAGGCGGCCGTTCGCTGGGTGGCCGAGGGCGAACGGAACACCAGGTTCTCCCCTCTCTCATCTCTCCGAACCAGAGTGGATTCGTCAAGGATCGGGTCATTAGTGATAACATCCTTCTGGCCCAGGAGATGATCCACGACATCTCCCGAGCGGACTGGAAGCGGGCTCCGAATATCGCGCTGAAGCTGGACATGGCTAAGGCGTATGATAGGGTTGAGTGGCCGTTTCTTAGGGAGGCGTTGGCTAGGATGGGATTCCCTGAGCGTTGGATCAGCTTTGTGGAGGCGTGTGTGGAGCATTGCACGTTCTCGGTCCTGATTAATGGCAGCCCCACCGATTTCTTTCCCTCCTCTAGAGGCCTTAGATAGGCCGACCCTCTTTCCCCTTCCCTCTTCGTTCTTGCGGCGGACTACCTCTCTCGCTGCCTTGACGGCTTCATCCGCGACTCTCCCCACATGACCTATAGCACCTGTGGCTATGGTCTTACCGTCTCTCACCTCTCTTACGCGGATGAAATCATTATCTTCACCCGGGCGGATGATGATGGACTAGTCGAGCTTATGCGCCTTTTGGAGCACTATAGCTTGGTCACCGGTCAGCTGGTCAGTGTGCAGAAGAGCACCTTCATCCTTTCATCTGCCACAGTGGACAGGTGGGCTCAGCGGGTCCACGACATTACTGGCTTTGCGCGTGGCGACCTTCCCATTACCTACCTCGGGGTCCCTTTATATAAGGGCAACCTCACGAGAGCGCTCTTTGCGGGCGTCAGACAGAGGATGATCGACAGGATCTCTGGTTGGTCGCATAGATATCTTTCTTTCGGTGGTCGGATAGCGCTGATCAAGAGCACTCTTAGCTCTCTTCCGATTCACTTGCTTATGGTCCTCGACCCCCCTAGGTCTACTCTTGACGAGCTTGACCAGATTATGGCTCGTTATTTCTGGGGTTATGAGGACGGGTCTGGGAGGGAGAGACGTACTCACTGGGTGAGTTGGGACTCTATCTGCCGCCCCCTCCCAGAGGGTGGCCTTAGCATCCGCCGCCTTAGGGACATTGTTACAGCTTTCTCATACAAGCTGTGGTGGCGCTTTCAGGGAAGGAAAGTCGCTTTGGGCCCAGTTTCTTCGCGGCAAGTACTGTCCTAGACGTGCCAACCACCCTTGTTGGGTCACGGCTGTTGATCATGATAGCAGACAGTGGCGGCGCCTCACTAGGGTCGGAAGGCGATCCCAGGATCACATCTTTTGGGTTTTGGGAGGGGGCGATGTCAGTGTTTGGGATGAGTGGTGGGTAGGTGATAGGCCGCTGTCTAGGGATAGGCAGGTGTCGCATTCCCCCTACCTGCTCGTGAGCGACCTCTGGACGGACGGGTCGTGGGATAGGGGGAAGCTTGATAGGGAGTTGGGGGCTGGTGCGGGTTTTAGCGAGCAGTTATTAGATCAGATCCAGCAGATCCCTATCTCGGGGGACGGTTCAGATAGCATGAGGTGGAGACTTACATCATCAGGTGTGTTTTCTACTACCTCGGCTTGGGAGCAGATAAGGCTGAGGGATCGGCCTAATCTCCTCTTCGGGGCTATCTGGAGTGACCTTTTTACGCCTACTATTTCGGTATTCCTTTGGCGCCTTCTCTTGCGCCGGATACCCGTCGATACTGTGCTACACGCGAGGGAGATCTCTTTCCCCTCTCGGTGTGTGTGTTGTTCTGAGACTGGACGACATGAGACTGAGACCTTTACCCACCTTTTTCTAGAGAGTGAGATTGTGAGGAGAGTGTGGGAGCATTTTGCCACTTAGACTCATATACCCCTACCCACCACATACAGTTTTTTTGAG